ACATTACTACCTCTTTTTTTTTAAAGAGCATTACTATCTTCAAGTACTACTAAAAATTGTTATTATTCATGTGGGTAAAATATTACTCTTTTGTTTTAGGTGTGTAGTAGTAATTTGGTGCGTGTAGTATTGATTTTATGAGTTATTAGTAGTGGATTGGATTAAGTGGATATTTTTAATGGGTTGGTGGATTGGATTGAGAATTGCCACCTCTAACTACTATCGTATCTATAAATCGCTGCTATGAAATCACTATACTACTATTACAGAACCACTACTACGAAGAATTCTCCACTATCTACGTCTTTGATCAAAACAACACCAATCCACAATCTCCTTTCTTGCGGTCGTCCTTATGATTTCTCTAGGCTACAACTAAAAAATTTACTCAAAACAATACTACCACTACCGTTCCACCTTATATAAGGTTATTAGTATAAATAAAAGGTTAAATACACTTGTATATCCAAAACTTTCATGGTTGTGCCAATAATATCCAAATTTGACGAAATACCACTTATAGCCACTTCCGTCGAATTCTTTAACGGTGTCAGCTAATAAGCTAACTGGACAAAACGGAAATGCCGAGTTGGCGAGTTTCTCCAGCAACAATTCCACGCTGGATTAAGTTTAAAAAATAAAAAGTAAAATAAAAAATAAAAAAGGAGATGAAAGGTCCCCACCAAACACACACTCCCTCCTTCCCTCAGTGATTACTCAGCTCCACCAGCCGTCGCCGCCACTTCTCCGCCTCGTCGAACCCAAAAATCCACCATTCCTTCGCCAGATGAGGGAGGCTTTGCGATATCGAGTGCGATGTCGGCCTATCCTTGTTCGTAACACCCCAATTCTACGAATGGAACCAAAGCACGGAGCCTGCCCTTCTAATACAAAATAAACAAACTATTCATGTTTAAACATGATTGACTCTTTATATTGATTGACTCTTCCAAAGCACGCAGTGCAGGACTTCCCGTCACATCCCCGCTGGCACCCAGCAACCCATCACTTCTCCCCCTTCAAGAGTCTCTGCGAGAGACAAAGACCACCACACACAGCTTTCTGACTCCGCACAGTGCACTGTCAGATGAATAGTAAAATTAGGTCTAAATGAGCAGTAAATTGTATCTGCGTCCATAATGTCCGGTGTTTTGAGCTATTATACTTTCAATATCTTTTCCCTCAGTTGTCTTGTTAATCTTTAGATGATAATTAATTAGGTTGTGTTTAGCAGATGAGAGAACTTACTAATTCTCCAGGTATATATCGATCCTCTGCGATTTCGAGTGCGATGCCGGCCTATCCTTGATGATTTTTTATTATGTATAGTTTGTTTATTTTGTATAGCTTGTAAATTTAGTTTTTATAGTTTTTCTGGTTTGTCAGTCTAGTTTGTATTGTTAAAATAGTTTGTATGTTTTGTATTGTTTGTAAATCTGATTTGTATTTGTACAAGTTTATCATCTTGTATAAATAAGGAAAAAAAGGAAGGATGAAAAAGAAGTGACGGTCAGAAAAAAAGAGAAAAAGATAAATTAAATCAATTTTTTATAATACCAAAATTACACTTATTATTAATTAAAAATACTTCTCATTTCGTCACCATTAAATTAATGTATCTATATCTAAAGGTTAGTAAGGGACAAGATATTATGACAACACATATTTTGTTTGTTGTTAGGGTGACAACACTAGCCTCCAACCAATAGGAAGCTAGAGTTGTAATGACTTTTTATTAGCTAAGTTGACATAGTGTAAAATCAAAAGAGGGGTATAATTGTCATTATGAAAAATATGTTTAAATAATAATAAAAAAATAATTTTTTTTTATTTTTGGCGCAAAATTTTGGTCGCCGGAATTCAGCCACCGGAATGTATTAGGACGTTTTATGTTTTCTTTATTGTGGTTTGCTTTACCGTGTTTGTGGCTTGCATTAGGGGGTATCTGCCGTGCTTTTCAAAATATTTATGGTTTGCTTTGTGTTTTCAAAATATTTATTCCATTCTACCAAAAAAAAATATTTATTCCAAAGCAGCAGCTGGAGATCATTCTCGTCGAACATCTCCTTATCCCTTATCATGTCCGCCATGGAAAATATCTTGCCTTACCTTTCAGCTTCTTTGGGATAAATATTTTCCTTGTCCTTGAAATCCTCTCTCGGATCCTCCGACCTCTTCATCACCGCGTAGCTCTCCTTCACTTTTCCTTCCACCCTGCACGTCATTACCCACTGCGAGAACCGCGACAGCCGAGCCGGCGACCCAATCTCCGCCGCCGCTGCCGCCTTCTTCCTCCTCCTCCTGCGCCCTCCACGTCTGTCCTTCCTCCAGGTCGCGCCGCCAAACTCTGTTTCTTCTTCGCCTTCATAGTCCTCCGGGCCTCCTTCACTGCTAAAGAGGCCCCCAGTGTCGACGGAGGAAGTCGAGATCCTAATCCTCGTTGTTTTCTTCTTCTCGACACGCCGTTTCGACGACGCATTCTTCGATGCCATCGAATTCGTCCAGGACAGTGGCGGATTGAGGATCACTGCTTGCCTGAGATTGGAGGAGAAGGATCGACGACGGCGGCAGAAGAGAGGATTGAGGAGAAGCGGTCAGGAAAGGTAGGGGAGGAGATCGAGAGCCATCTGGGAATTTAGATATTTTAATTTAATTTAATTTAATTTTAGGTAAGTTTACCTTTATAGCATTAATGAATCCTGTTGTTAGTAGGTGTTGTTATACTATCCAGGCCCAGTTAGTAATGACTTACTCAAGTAACTAAGAAACTCTCCTAGATCAGGAGTCCGGACTCGATTGAAAGCAGTGGTGGATACATGGATGTTTAGGAGTGTCCCGTGACACCCACAAAATTTGGGTAAACAATTATTTAATCTTTGGTAGTAGTTTCGTATGGATACAAAAAGTATAATTAGTAATCCGCGATACCCTTAAATTTTGAAAAAAACGATTATCCTACTTTCGGTAGTAGTTTGTGTATGATTAAAAAAATATAAGTGGTAGTTTGTGTATGATTACAAAACGTATAAGTGGTAATTTGTGTTATTCAAAACTAACACTACTATTATTACACATATTCTTCAGGTTGCAACTAATTTCTAATTCTATTTTAAACACAATGAAGTAGTAAAAACATTATTCCTTATCCTAACTATTTTCAAAACCTAACAATTAAACTAATTAGATTTATTCTTAATTTGAATTGATTTTATGATTACATGACAAGAGTTAAAAGAGTTTTTCAACTTTGAATAACATCAAGAATAGAGTTAGAAATTTATTTTATTATCGAGTAGACATCAAATCTATTCTATAAAACTCTTGTTAATATTTGTACTAATCGAAAGCCAACCCCCCCCCCCCCCCCCGGCGAAAAAGTTAAACTACTCACAAGGTAAGTTGTGAGTAGATACTTACAGAGAGAGAAAAGAGTAAAGAAAAAGGAGAAGTGATGTCCCATTAAATTCCCAACCATCTTTAACTCTCTATCCCTCTTTCTCTCTCACATTCCTTTTTTTGTAATAGATATTGGTTAGTGATGGATTGTTTTTTTATGTACAGATATTAGTATGTAATGATAGGATATAATGATGTTCATGCGATGGATATTAGTTTGTGAAGTAATGGATATTGTGTCTTCCATCAAAACTAAACACCCAATCAAATCCTAACGCATAAGGCTTGCAACCTTAGTTAGGGCTGCCCGCCGATGGCCTATGGGCCTTCGGCCCATGAAACAATAATATTTGTTTGTAATTAATGATGATTAGTTTAGGTGGTTCGGATATGTGTAGTTGGTATTAGTCTGCGATGGTCAGATATTAATCTGTTCGTCGTGGGTATTTGTCTGCGATGATCAGATATTAATCTGTTCGTCGTGGGTATTTGTCTGCGATTGTCAGATATTAGTTTGTGTGAGGTGGGTATTAGTCTCTATGGTGAGGATATTAATTATGAGTTGACTAGATATTGGTCTTAGAGAATATTTGTTATAGTGAACGGATATTATTCTGGGTGGTTTGGATATTTGTTTTGTGTGGATGTGTTATCCTGACGAAGTGATGGAAAGAGAGGAGGAGACTCACATATTATTTTGTTTTTAATTTGTGGCCCACCTTTCTGTCTAACTGGATAGTGAATGGATCAGCCTTTTATTTATTTATTTTTTGACCCCTTATCTCGGTCTCTATGAGTATATAATCGGGTAATTAGCATAAATGGTAACAAACCTTTGCACTTAGTATAAAATGGTCACAAACCTTTAATTTGTAACAGTACGGTAACAAAACTTTGAAATTGTATAAAATGGTCACCGCTATTTAATTTATGACCGTTTTGTTTTAAGTGCAAAGGTTTGTTACCGAATCGTTACAAATTAAATGTTTGTCATGTTTTGAGGTCGGGTAGTTTGTTCGTTAAGTATATGACACTAACCACTTGAACGACATATAAGATGTCAGGTCATGTGTTCATCAACATATTTGTTTTGCCGAATAAGAATGCCCTCAGTTGACCTTTCAATTTCGATACCAAGAAAGTAAGAAAGTAGACATAGTTTTTTCAACTAAAAAGCAGTCTGGAACCCGTTTGTGAGCTATTGAATTCTCTCATTGTCATCCTAAACAACATAATATCACTCACATACATTAACAAAACCACCATACAACTAGAGTGAATTGTAACGATGATTGAGCGTTCAAACTTTTGAAATTAATTTGTACAAAACGGTCACCAAAAGTCTAATTTGCAACGACACGGTAACAAAAGTTTGAACTGGTATGAAATGGTCACACTATTTAATTTGTGACCATTTTGTTCTAAGTAAAAAAGTTTTGTTATCAAATGGTTACAAATTAAAGGTTTGTGACTGTTTTGTACTAAGTGCAAAGGTTTGTGACCATTTATGCTAATTACCCGTATATAATCACAATTTACCTCGTGAGTAGTTTAACTACGTTGCCCCCATCTGGCCATCTTTTTTTTTCATATCCACGAAAACTGCCGAGAAGACTCGAACCAAAGACTGAAAAAATTCCAGTCAACTTCCCGCGCCATAAGATAGTAGAGGCCACAACCATCCGCGGCGACGGAACACAGACCGCCGGCATTTCCCAACCCTTCTCCACTATCTTCAGTCTTCACCCTTCACGCTCCACGCCCTAGTCATGGGCCTTCTTCGCACCATCCGCCGTCTGTACGGGATACTGAATTACCCTCGCCGTAATGAGGTTGGTGGCAATTTCGGCATGTCTTTTGAAACTCCTGACCTCTTCATTAGCCTCAGTACTCTTCAAGTTGCCACCAATTTCTTCTCCAAGAAGAATGTGATCGGTCAGGGAGGCTTCGGTCGCGTCTACAAGGTGTGTAATACTGAATCTCTGGTTGGTTGTTTCTTCCGCAGTTCATCGAGCCCGATATTAGCGAATTGCTGTTCATGGTGTCATCTTCACGGTTGAATTGAAGCATGTCGATTTGGTTCAGCTTACAGAGTTGCGAGTTTGGTTTATGTTTGTTTTGGATGTCCTTGAAACTTCCCATTTTTTGGTGCTTCAACTAAATTTGTCTTCCCTTAGAATTGGTACAATTCTTCATTCTACAATTGAGCATTTGATATTTACTCAGGATTTGATATAGCTATTGAACTGGTTTTTGATGAAATTCTGGTAACCTTGGGCATTCCTATTTGATCCGGTTGTAAAGTATGCTGGATTTGTGCAAACTCATGAGACATTTTTGGAGTTGTCCTGAAAGTTGAAATGATATGTTCATTGGCCATCCTCTGAATCAACCTGCTAAATGTTTTGTGTCCAAATCATCTCCAAGAGGCATCGCTTCCCATCCATGTAGATTTGTTTTCAGGGTCTGATGCCGAATGGCCAAGAAATTGCTGTGAAGAAGCTCTCATCAAATTCAACACCTGGAGTAATTGAATTCACTAATGAGGTGAAGCTGCTGTCTGAAATCCGGTACTTGAATCTTGTTACATTGTTGGGTTGCTGTGTAGAAGTATCTGACAAGATGCTGGTCTACGAGTATTTGCCGAATAAAAGCCTTGATTGCTTCCTCTTTGGTAAAAATCTCATATATTTGCATAAACTATTTTTTATGTTGGGCAAAGGAAAATTAGCACTTTTCACCAAAAAAGGAGGGGGAAAAAAAAAGAGAAAAAAGAAGAATTAGCACCTGTTGATTCTCTTACTAGTGAAAGTTCCTAGATAAAGAGAAGTCTTCCTCTCTGGATTGGACTACAAGATTCAATATAGCGAAGGGGGTGGCCAGGGGAATTCTTTACCTCCATGAAGAAGCCCCCATGAAAATCATTCACAGAGACATCAAAGCTAGTAATATATTGTTGGACGAAAGCCTGAACCCAAAGATATCGGATTTCGGCCTTGCCAGGCTGTGTCCAGAGGAAGATTCACTTATGAGCACAAGGGTATCTGGTACTCAGTGAGTCTTTTTTTTCCAGTTCTCTATAATTAGGATTCCTTTTCTATTTCACTTGAATGTTTGGATGCAGCTTTTCTTAAGCGACTGAGAATGAACTTGATGTTGGTTGCAGTGGTTACATGGCCCCAGAGTATGCAATGCATGGATATCTTTCTGTCAAGACCGACATTTTCAGTTATGGTATTCTCCTTCTAGAAATCATTAGCGGGAGAAGGAGTCTTGATCGCAGACTTAGTACAGACCATGCTGATCTAGCAAATTTTGTAAGTTGATTTTACAGACTGCTGTATCGATTGAGTTATGTAGGATAGAAATGTATATTTTCAATTTGAGTTGCCTATTGAGCATAGAGTCAAATGACATGAATTCGAGAATGGGTTCTTGTGTATGGAAATTAGGCAAATAAATGAAGAACCTGCTTTAGTCATGCCTTGTACGATTTGTAAGGGCCAATTGGTACCAGTTCTTTGATTCATGCTCTTGCTTGGAGTCCATACAACACTTAAGTTAGCTATCATTCCACCTGAATTTCTTTTATTTGGTACCTCTTTTTGTGGGCAACTTAAAAACACAGGCATGGACACTCTATCAAGCAGGAAAGATGCTGGAATTAGTTGATCCTACCGTTGGAGACCATTATAACACTGATTCAGTGGGGATGTGCATTCAAATAGGGCTATTGTGCTGTCAGCAAACTGTTGCCGATAAGCCTGACATGAACTCAATTCATCTCATGCTTTCGAGTGACTCGTTTACTTTGCCGGAACCTGGTAAACCTGGAGGAAGGTGGACATCCATGAAACCAGGTGTTAGGAACAGTATTAATACACTTGAGGATCATTCCCGAAACTGATGCTCTTTTTCCTCTTTTTATGAAGGTAGCTAAAGGGTTTGACAGAAGCTACATGTTTATAAGCATCATTTCCACATCTTACACTATTCTTTCATCATTACGAGTTTAATTTGTTGCATGAGTGTTCTCAGTCATTAGCTTGTTAATAATAAAATGTGATCATGGACTCAGTACTCGTCATGATAGTTGATTATTGATTCAATATTCGTCATGATTAATTGTTAACTTCTCTCTCTCATGTTTAATACAAAGTGCATATGGCCTTCTCAAGTTCTTAATGATATCTCAGCTATCCAATACAAACTCTTAGATTCAACATTTATCAAAATCAAGGCTGGGAACATATAAGTTTTGATCAAATTTAACCCACTCTAACCCTGCTACCCATACCCTGCCATGTTGTCACACCCCATGTAAGCATGCTTGTCTACACGGTGCGTAAACCAAGTTATTTATTCTTTGGCCTCGCTTTGGGAACTCCCGACTTGTTCTTTGCCCTCCATACGCATCAAGTGGCCACTCCAACTTGAATAAGCTCAGTCCTTAAGGCTTCGGTCCTGTCTACAAGGTGTGTAAAAGCTACTCTGGTTTGATATTTCTTCCTCCAATGCATTGAGCTTGATCGTCTTGTTAGCTAAAAGCTGATCATGGTGCTGTTTTACCAGTTGATTTGAACGCATCTCGTGTTTGTTCAGTTTACGGTATTTCAACTTTGGTTTTGTTGGGTTGGGCCGTTGTCTCATTTCGATCGAATTTTCTTCCCTGCAGATGGTACAATTCTCCAATTGGCAACTGGGCAATTGGTTAATGTCTTGTTTTGCCTGATATAGTTTTCTCTAGTAAATTCTCAGGGGTTTTGGTTCTAGAGACGATGGGTTTTAATTGAAAAGAGAAACCGTAGCAGAAACCTTGGAGTAGAAGATATAAATATGAATTTTGAGGTGAATAGATCCAGTTTTCAACAATCAGTCAAATTTGAGCATTACTGATGAACTGGCTCATGATGAAACCCTGGATATTAATATCTGCTTTGAATGTAAAGGATGCTGAGTTTTTTGAATTCTCAAGACAGACTTTTGAGGTGCTCATTTGTCTCCTTGTACTGTACATTAACCTGCAAAATATTATGTCAAATTATCTGAAAGTGGTATTTCATTCATCCATGTAGCACTCTTTTCAGGGGATGGTGCCTGATGGCCAAGAAATTGCGGTCAAGAAGCTCTGAATCGTCATCTGTCACTCGTCAGGATCCTGATTATGATCAGTGTGAATCGCCAATAGGTAGAGGACCGACCGACTCACCAAATCATAAGGCAATATAGACTTTTCAGTTCCATCCCTATGTTCAGTGACACATAATGGTTTCAATAGCCATGTCCAAACTGTCAGTCACTCTGCGTTTACTTTGGTCTTTTGCTTCTCTTTTTTATTTCCACGAAAAGGGACGTATCAACCATCGGCGGCGACAGATCGCTGACCGCCTGCATTTCAGGCCTTCTCCCTTATCCTCAACCTCAATGCTCCATGCCCCGTCATGGACCTTATTCGCACCTTCAGCCGTTACCTTGATGGGATAATGAATTCCCGTGGCATCGAGAAGGATGGTGACCGTTTAAGCCCAGTTTTCGAAACTTCCGACCTCTCCGCTGGCCTCCAGACGCTTCAAGTAGCCCCAATTTCTTCTCCGAGTCGAATAAGCTCGGTCATGGTGGTTTCGGTCCATCTATCAGGTGTGTAATAGTGACTGTGATTGGTTATTTCTTCCTTCAATGCATTGAACTCTGTCATATTTATCAGTTAACAGTTGATCATGGTGTCGTCTTTGCGGTTGAATTGAATCCTTGTCGATTTAGTTCAGGTTATGAGTTTGGTGTCTGTTGGTTTGGCCGTCCACGGAGCTTCAAAACTGCTCCATTTTTTTTTTGTCTTGCAGTTGAATTTGCTTTTCCCTACGATTGGTAAGATTCTTCAATGTGCAATTATGCATTTGATTCTCACTGACGATTTTTATATAGAACTCTAATGAACTGGTTCATGATGAATTTTGAGTGTAATGGATTTGAATGCCAAGTATGCTGAGTTTTGTGCAAACTCATGAGACATCTTTTGAGGTGTCCTCAAAGTTGAACTGATCCTGCTAATTATCTTGTGTTCAAATTATCTCGAAGAGGTATCCCTTCATATATATGTAGAGCTGTTTTCCGCCTTCAAGGGTTGATGCCTAATGGCCAAGAAATTGCAGTGAAGAAGCTTTTTTAATTTCAATGCAAGGAGTAAGAGAATTCACTAATGAGGTGAAGCTGCTATCGGATATGCGGCACATTAATGTTGTTACATTGTTGGGTTGCTTTGTAGAAGTACCTGAAAATATGCTTGTCTACGAGTATTGCCAAACTAAAGCCTTGATTGCTTCCTCTTTGGTAAACATCTCATCTTTTGCATATGTCTGTCTTCTATGTTGGCTCCTTCTCAAGTTCTACTTGCTACCTCAGCGATATGGAGTAAACCATGAAACGAGACCACCAGCTTGCCCACTCTAACCCTGCTACTCCCGCCTTGACAGTGGAAGCAAGCATGCCTTCCCAGTTGGGAAACAGGGGAATCGTGGAGAAATAGTGGACATGCTTCCATCTGATATCTAGAGTAAGAACACACAGCAACCAAGTGATATCTACTCTCCAAACTTCCAGTGCATAACAAACATGATATTATCAAGATGTTCCCTGTCTGATGTTTTGAATTGAAGTTGGATGAAACTAGGGGTGTTCAAACGGTTTGGTTACCATGGTAACCATTTTAACCATTACTATTTGGATAATTTGGTTTGGTTTGGTTAAAGTTTTTAGCTTGTTTGGTTTAGGTGGTTTGGTTCGGTTTCAGACACTCCTAACCAGTCAAACCAAATTAACCAGTTAAGTAATTAGTCATATATCTAACATATATTATATACACATACTTAATACTTTGCATAACCACTCAAGAGTTAACGTTCATCCCTTTTAGAATCATAAAATATAAAGCTCAATATTGCTCATATAGTGTACATTTGTATATGTAAAATGTAGACCACAACATATGGACGCCTAATTTAGATAAATTTCATACATTATGATGGATGAAAACTTGAAAGGAAGGTCATTTCCAGCCTATGATAATTGCTAAGAGACTAAGTCAATTTACACAAACACAACAATTCATTAACCCATACCATTGTCATAAATTTTTGTTAGGTGAATACTTCTATACTAATCGTAAGATAATTGTCTTAGTTGCATGTACTTTTGTTAAGGGTCAACTATAACTACGTGTTGATTGTTATGTTTTATTCATTATATAAATTGCGAATTGTTGCATTAACCGGAAAATTTTCATCGTCAATGATAATGTGATTTTATATTGGTTAATCTGGTTAACCAATTAACCAAACCGATTAAACTTTAGTTTGGTTAATTTGGTTGTTGTATTATTTTGGACGGTTTGGTTATGATATTGTATTCCATGGTTAATGGAATTTAGCCTTATTTGGTTTGGTTATAACCATGGTAACCATTTGAACACCCCTAAATGAAACTGACTGCAACAGGAAGGTGTTTTGCTATGACAAGCATAGTTCTAGTTACACAGAACTCAATGTGTCGGCTGTATTTAAAAGAAAAAGCTACTTGGAGTTGATCCAGCAGTCGCAAATGACTCCTTCCACAAAGCCCATGTCAGGGCGCGATTCGGGATCTTCGCTGAGGCAATTGAGAGCAACACGCATCGCCTTCTCTGCAACCTTTACCGGGAAGAACCCACTAAGCCTTCCATCCACCCAACCTCGCACCTTCGCCGGATTATCCTCTCCAGCAAGTGTCTCCCTTGCTGTCTCAACGATCGACGTTCGCACGTGCACGTTCTCTTCCTCATCATAATGGTAATAAGCCACTGGCTCTGCACCGGAAAGCAGCTCCAACAGCAGCATCCCAAATGCGTACACATCAGATTTCTGCGTCGCCAATGTCCCTTCATGGCGGCGAAGCTCTGGGGAAAAGTAAGGGTTCTCTTCCTCCTCGCTCTCTGGAATTGACGCCATTGTCGTTGGCCAACCGCCAATTTGGTTATCGTCGTCCGCAGCAGCCTCCCCTGCTGCCTGGGCAAGGCCAAATTTGCAGATGAGGGGTCTGACAACACCAGGTTGTTGAGAAATGGCAGCAGTAGTAGTATTGTTGTTGTTGTTGTTACTCCTGAAAGTGAGGATGATGTTGGAGCTCTTGATACGGTTGTGGACTAGGATGGCGTCGAATCCAGTCATGTGGTGGATGTAGTTCAGGCCGCGAGCCACTCCCAGAGCGATTTCGATCCTCGACTGCCACGTCGAGACGTACAAACTGTACAGATTGTTAACATTACCATTATTATGGTTATTCAGACAGTCGGAGAGGGTGGGGCTGTTGACGAAGCCGTACATGAGGTCGACGACCCGGGGCTCCTTGTCGGAAATGGAAGCTCCCATGAGCTGGACCACGTTGGCGTGCCGTATGCTGCCGATGAGCGACAGCCGCTGTTTCAGCTTCTCCGGTGTGATGTTGGGAGGGAAACTCCGGCGAAAGCCGATGGTGTCTTTGCCCCGGAAGGTGCAGCGGTAGGAGGAGGCTGTGTTTGAGGGGGCAGGGGATGAGGAGGAAGAAGATGAGGAGATGGTGAAAAAGAAGCTGGAGCCGGTGGCGGAGGAGGAAGCCCTTGAGAGCTCGGAGTTGGTGGAGGGTGTGGCGCCGGAGTGGACCAAGATGGCAGCTGCAGCCCTGGGAGTCGCTGGAAGGTATTGGGTTTGTGTTGGCCGTGGTCTGGGGCAGTACCGTGGAAAACTTAGTGATCGGAAAACTGTGTCATCCTCATTCTGGTGATCATCGTCAAACGCCATTAGGCTCCGGTGGGCGACTCTCTCTCTCGCCGGTTAGAATTTGCTTACTGGATGACTACTCACCCACCAAGTTTGAAGGCAACCATTGACTTTCTCAGCTGAGAACTTATAGTCAGGTAAGGTAAGCGCCTCCTTGCTTTGGAAGTCAAGTTCAATGGGTATCATTTACGTGGTCACTGAATTATTTCAAACGTAACAAGCTCGTCACTAATTTTCAAAATATAACAAAATAGTCACTTAAATTTCTCGATTTGTCTAACTTCATCTATCTTTCTTTCCGTTAACTATGCCTTGCCAGCCTGCCATACCACCACCCAACATACATCATTATCCCCCCCCTAACCTGCATCTCAAGTCTCAACCAAAACAAACAATGAAACCTAACCCATCTCCATTCTTTCTCTGTACACCACCGGAATGGATTGTTTTGTTAATATAGTTTGGGTTCGAATTCTGGTCGAACCTGGGTTAATGTGTTTATGGTTGCATAGTGTGGGGTCAAAGGGTATGAGATGACATGTCTTGTCGGCATACTGACTAGGTGCAGTAAGTGACCGAGTTGTTACGAATTGGCAAGTCTAAATGTTTATTTTGTTACATTTTAAATATTAGTGATGAATTTATTACATGTGGAATAGTGTAATGACCATTTAAGTAAGTTGAATTTGGAGTGGAGTGGCAAACCGTGTTTCAAGTTGAAAGATGAGTGTATCATAACAACGCTCAACGGTTTCCTTGTAGGTAGGATGGCCATAGTAGTCAAATCTTAAGTCTTAAGTTTCTGAATTCTTTCAGTCTAGGTGTCACTAACCTTTTATTTGGTTTATTTCTTCCTGCCGCCGGGCCCAACTTCCTTGCTCTCTCTCTTCTAATATTACGGTCGGTCAGCTGCAGGGCGTTCCGCGTTTGCGCGTTAGGCCGTGGCGGGAGCGGGAGCAGGAGCAGGAGCGGGTCGACCCGTGTATGGCTTCCCTTTTTTTAATGGGAGCTAGGAATCTGTATCACAATGTACATCCAAATGCTATATCAACAGCGAAAAGCACTAATAAGTTGCTTGCTGGCATTTCTAAGGTATTCTCCCGCGCAATCTCTACGCTCCGTGAGCTAATCATGGGCCTTATCGGCACCATTCGCCGCTACCTGGACGGGAAGCTGAAGTCCGGTCGCCCCAAGGAGGACGGCGATGATTTTGGCATAGCTTTCGAGGCTTACGACCTCGACTTCATTGGCCTCCGTACTCTTCAAGTGGCAACTGATTTCTTCTCCCCGTCGAATAAGCTCGGTCACGGAGGCTTCGGTCCCGTCTACAAGGTGCGTCATATATTAATTATTGACTATATATAGTTTCGTTATTTCTTCCTCCACTCCAGTGCATGTTTGGTGGTTCATTCTGTTAGAGATAAAGAATAAAATTCTTTATTCCTTTAATTGTTTCTTCACTTGTAACAGTCAGTTCCGTTAGTGGTAGCTATTTCTCAGCAACTACTTGTAACAAACTCTCCATCAAATCCTCCTGTAACCTGTATAAGAGTTGAATGCTACAATGAATGGAATCACGTTTTCATTCCATATCAATATCTTTCATGGTATCAGAGCTAGCAAAGATCAGCTAGAACCGATCCATTTTTTTTCCTTCCTCTCTTCTCTCAGTTCACTCTCAGTTCTTGTTATCATGGCTGATGGAACCACTACGGCCATCTCGAGCTACAGCTCCAACTCCTCCTCTGCTGAGCAGTCCATCATCAGCTTCAATCCTGCGGCCCAGCTTCCCCTGAAGCTCACCGCACTCAATTTTAATTCCTGGCGTTCTCAAGTGGAGACTCTCCTGATGGGACTCGATCTCCATTCCTACATCGACGGCATCGGCGTTGCTCCTGCCCCGACCATCACTGTTGCTGCTGCTGTTTCTCCTAATCCGGCTTATCATCACTGGTTCCGCCAAGACAAGTTAATCCTCCACGCTCTACGTTGTTCAATCTCTGATTCCCTCTGTTCCTTTGTTTCGGCTGCTGTTACCGCTCGCGAGGCCTGGCTCATCATTGAGAAATTGTATGGTGGCAATTCACCTTCTCGTATCATTCATTTAAAGGGCAAGCTTGCCAAAACGACCAAAGGCGATCTTGACGTGCTTACGTTTGTCAATGATCTGAAGCTCATTGCGGCCGAGCTCGCTCTTGTTTCTGCACCAGTCTCTGATATGGATCTGGTTGTTCACTGCCTCCGCGGTCTCGGTCCTGACTATAGCCAATTCGCTGCGGCATTCCGGGCTAGAGGCACCCCTGCTACGATTGAAGACCTGGTGGATGCCTTGGTCGAGTTTGAGGCTGATCTCAAAGAGCAGGCTAATTCTCAGGTGTCTGTGCCCACTGCCTTCTTCTCTCAGGGTCTGCAACGATGTGGCGGCGGAAATCAATCTGCCGGTCGCCGTCCTCAGCCCCAGCGCCCTTTCGAGAGTTTTTCCCAGCCTCCTACTCCTCGGCTCCCAGGGCCAGTTCATCCACCGCCAGGCCCAATGGCCACTCCGGATTTTCACTCCCCACGGCGTCAACGATTGATTTGCCAATATTGTGAGAAACCTGGTCATTCTGTACGCCAGTGTTTCCAACTCTTTCCTCAAGCTCGACAGGCCTACCAGGCTCGGCAGGCTCAGGCTCACACCACCACAGCTGGGCGGACCCCCTCACCAGGCCCATGGCTTCTTGATTCTGCAGCTTCCCACCATGTCATGTCCGACTTAGGGAATCTCTCTCTGTACTCAGACTACACTGGTCCTGATGAAATTTTCGTTGGCGACGGTTCTGGTTTAAAGATTACTCACATTGGCTCTTCACATCTTACTAATTCGTCGCTTTCCTTTAATCTCCACGATGTTCTCTGTGTTCCTGCTATCAAGAAACGGCTTATCTCTGTTGCCAAGTTATGTCATACTAATCCAGTCTCGGTGGAATGTTTTGCTCATTGTTTTGTTGTGAAGGATCTTCGCACGGGGGCGCCGCTGCTGAAAGGGGAAAATAATGGTGATCTCTACGAGCTGCCCAACGACCTTCACACCGTCCGCCTCGCCCTTGTCACTACCCGCACCACGACCTCTTCCTGGCACTCCCGCCTTGGTCATCCTTCCTCCCATTCGTTGCGCAATCTTCTTCGCACCCAGTCTCTTCCAGTCACATCCACTACCCACGACAGTCATTGTGATTCCTGTCTTTCCAATAAAAGTCACAAACTCCCTTTTTTCGTGTCATCCCTTTCCAGCACTCGTCTATTTGATTTATTGTACACTGATGTTTGGGGTCCTGCTCCTGTTTCTTCAATTGATGGCTATTCTTATTATCTCATCATTATTGACCATTTTTCTCGCTACACTTGGTATTACCCATTACGCCGCAAATCTGATGTGCTTTCAATCTTTCTTGCTTTCCAGAAAATGGTCCAGAACTATTTTTCCACCTTCATTCGCCGCCTTTATACTGATGGTGGTGGTGAATTTCAAAAATTACAATCCACTCTTGCGGACCATGGCATTAGTCATTTGCTCACCCCATCCCATACTCCTGAACATAACGGTCTCGCTGAACGTAAACATCGCCATCTTGTTGAAACTGGCCTTTCCCTTCTCCACTATGCCAAACTTCCCCCTGTTTTTTGGTCGTTTGCCTTCTCCACTGCCATTTATCTCATCAACCGTCTCCCGTCTTCTGCTCTTCGTGGCCAAATTCCCTACACATTATTGTTTAATCTTTCCCCCAACTATCACAAACTACGTATCTTTGGCTGTTTATGCTATCCATGGTTACGTCCGTACTCCTCCACTAAACTTGATCCCCGTTCTCGCCCGTGTCTTTTCATTGGCTATTGTCCCCAACGTAGTGCGTACCGTTGTTTTGATCCTGCCACTAAACGCATCTTTTTGTCCTGTCATGTTGTGTTTGTCGAACACAAATTTCCTGGCTACTCAACACCTAGCATCTCTACTGCTTCACCGTCTGTTGCTACTTGGCTCACTGATACCTCTACCACTATTACATACTTGCCATTTATTCCCCCCAGCCCAACATCTCCTTTAAGCCCACCTCCCCTCCCTGGGCCAGCTCCGCCACCATCTCCCCCAGCGGCCAGCTCCCCCTCTGCCGAGATTCCCTCCACAACAACGACTGGGCCTGATCAGCCGCCCTCGGCCCCTTACACCACTCCATCGCCCAGCAGCCCATCTCATTTGGGCCCGCCTTCTCCACCGGCTTGGCCCGCTCGCATGACCACTAGGTCACAACACGGCATTTTCAGGCCCAAGAGGTTATTTCCAGCACTTGTCACTAATGTCTCTGCAGGACCTCCGCCGCTTCACCCACACTCAGTTCGCGAAGCTCTCAAGTATCCAGAATGGGCAGCTGCACTTCGCGCCGAGAACTCGGCTCTCCTTGCCAACATGACTTGGGACCTCATGCCCCGGGAGCCTCATTTCAACGTCCTCGGCAACATATGGATTTATCGGGTGAAGCATCGCCCCGACGGCGCCATCGAACGATTCTAGACGCGCCTCGTCGCCAAAGGCTTTAATCAGCGACCCGGCGTCGACTTCCATGACACATTCAGCCCAGTGGTCAAGCCTGTCACGGTTCGTACCGTCTTCACTATTGCTCTCTCCCACGGTTGGGACATTGAACACTTTGACGTCAATAACGCCTTCCTCCAAGGCCCGTTGGAAGATGAAGTCTATATGACGCAACCGCCGGGGTTTGTCGATCCGCAGCATCCTCATCATGTATGTCGGCTCCGCAAGGCCATATATGGTCTTCGCCAGGCCCCGAGAGCCTGGCACACGACACTCAGCTCCTTCTTGCTCGACTTTGGCTTTCGCAAATCCCAATCTGATGCCTCCTTGTTCGTCTATCATCGTGAGGGGGTACTTCTCTACTTCCTTGTCTATGTGGATGATCTGTTGCTGACTGGAAATAATACCCAGGTGCTGTCTGCGTTTCAAGATGCCTTGGCTCACAAATTTTCTCTAAAAAATCTGGGCACTGTTAATTACTTCCTGGGGATTGAAGTTATCCCCACGGCAACAGGGTATGTTTTATCACAACATAAGTACATGTCTGATGTACTCGCCCGCTTTCAAATGTTGGATGCTGCCCCAGCTGCAACTCCGCTAGCTTCCTCTACTACTCTCTCCCTGAATGATGGCACTGCGCCGACGGATGCCACGCGTTATCGTCAAGCCCTGGGTGCTTTGCAGTATCTCGTATATACCCGTCCTGACTTAGCTTTTGCTGTCAATAAGCTGTCGCAATATATGCATGCACCCACAGCTCATCATTGGCAGTCTCTAAAGCGCCTCCTCCGCTATGTTCGTGGTACGGTCACCTATGATCTTGCTATTCGGAAACCCACTCTCCCTCTGCATCTTTCGGCCTTTGCAGACTCAGACTGGGCAGGAAATCTCGACGACCGCACTTCTACGTCTGCCTATCTTGTCTATTTGGGTTCCACACTCATCTCATGGAAATCTCAAAAGCAAAGGACTGTTGCTCGATCCAGCACAGAGGCTGAATACAGAGCCATCGCCCATGCTACTGCCGAACTCGAGTGGGTGCAGAACCTCCTAGTCGAGCTCCACCAGCCTCTTGGAGCTCCTCCCATGCTCTTCTCTGACAATCTCGGTGCGACCAGCTTCAGCTTCAGCTCTAATCCTCAATTCCACTCCAAGATGAAGCATTTAGCGCTCGATTATCACTTCGTTCGTCATCTTGTGCAAGCCGGTCGCCTTCGCGTTCAGTTTGTTCCCACTTTCCAGTAACTTGCGGACACACTAACGAAGCCATTACCTGCAACCCGCTTCCTCCTCCTACGTTCCAAGATTGGAGTCGTTGACACTACCTCCATCTTGCGGGGGCGTGTTAGAGATAAAGAATAAAATTCTTTATTCCTTTAATTGTTTCTTCACTTGTAACAGTCAGTTCCGTAGTCTTCGAGCTGTACAGTAGTGGCAGCTATTTCTCAGCAACTACTTGTAACAAACTCTCCATCAAATCCTCCTGTAACCTGTATAAGAGTTGAATGCTACAATGAATGGAATCACGTTTTCATTCCATATCAATATCTTACACATTCATCCTGTTTGTTTTCAGGGGGTGATGCCGAGTGGCCAAGAAATCGCGGTGAAGAAGCTCTCATCATATTCAACACAGGGAGTAAGAGAATTCACTAATGAGGTCAAACTGCTGTCCGAGATCCGGCACATGAATCTGGTCACATTGTTGGGTTGCTGTGTAGAAGGACCTGGGAAGATGCTTGTCTACGAGTACATGCCCAACAAAAGCCTGGATTGCTTCCTCTTCGGTAAGAAGCTCATATCTATTGCTAAAAAAAAAAAAAAAAACAGTAATGTCTTCTATGCTGGGGAAAAGAAAATTAGCACCTGATGATTCTCTTACTGGTGAAATAAAGAGAAGTCTTCCACCCTAGATTGGACGACAAGATTCCGTATAGCAACAGGGGTGGCGAGGGGACTTCTTTATCTTCATGAAGAAGCCCCTATGAGAATCCTCCACGGAGATATCAGTGCCAGTAATATATTGCTGGATGCCAAATTGAGCCCAAAGATATCGGATTTTGGCCTTGCCTGGCTGTTCCCCGAAGATGAAACACTTGTAAATGCATCTACCATATCTGGTACTCTGTGAGTGCTTGCTTCTTCTCTTTGATCGATTGTGAGTAGTGTCGTGTCTATTTACTGGATGTTTGCATCCTGTTCCTTTCCTTTCCTGAGAACAAACTTTTTATGTTCATTACGTACAGTGGTTACATGGCTCCAGAGTATGCAATGCACGGACATCTATCTGTCAAGACTGACGTCTTCAGTTATGGTATTCTCCTTCTGGAAATCACGAGCGGGAGAAGTATTCATGGTTACAGTCACGGTCCGGAGTCTCTTGACGATGCTGATCTCTTGGATTCGGTAAGTTGGTCCCATAGACTGCGGTATGGACTGTTTTGCGAGAGTTACATGGACTCTAGCTCTTCCGTAAATGCTCATATTCCCTTGCTCCGTTTTACTTGTTTTGCTTCGGCGGTGTAATTTCTTAAACACAGGCATGGAAGCTCTACGAAGCAGGAAAGACGCTGGAGTTAGTTGACCCCAGCCTAGGAAACTATTATAACGCCGATGAAGCAAGGATGTGCATTCAGATAGGGCTTTTGTGCTGTCAACAAGCTGATGCAGATCGGCCCGACATGAACTCGATTCATCTCATGCTTTCCAGCGACTCGCTTACCTTGCCAGCGCCGGGTCAACCTGCAGCACTGTACAGTATTGACGGAGAGAATTATTCCCAAAACTCCATCTCTGTCACCTCCATAAATGAAGGTAGATAAAGGGATCAAGTGTCTGTTTGTGTTTTACTTTTATGTAAATCGTAGGTGATTTTTTTGTCTGAGTTAGTATGTGGGGGTTCAGAACTTCAGATGGACATTTTCTGCTGTGACATGACCGTTTGTTTGTTGGATTTGAAAATGAAGGTTTTGAGTTTCAAAAACCTTTGGATTTATGATGGATTTGTTGCATCAAGGATTTGGAAGAGTACATTGTTTGTTTAGTTGATTTTTTATCGTGGATTTGTGATGGATTTGTCTCACATGTTTTCCTTCTATTGTCAAATCCCAAATGAAATGTGGGATTTACAAATCCGTGGGGTCCACGGATTTGGATCTAAAAAATGGGTCCAAATCTGTGGACCCCGCGGATTTGTGTCCCTCAACAAACAAAGGATTTGTGTCAACTCCATGATGCTTGGGATTTGGGTTCCAAATCCATCACCCAAATCCCACAAACAAACGACCCCTAAGATTTTGTATTTGGGTTCACCACAACAGATGGCACCTTTAGGGACGAAACTTCGTTGCTAAAGATCCTACCTTACTTTGTCGCAAATACTTGCTGTAACGTCACAACTTGTCGCAAAAGGCATTGTATCTCCGTAGAGTATACGGCGAACGAGGGATTTTGCCAATTGGTGCATCCTCGCCAAAGGTTCCACTCGTGGCACAAGGTTGAATCTTTGCGACGATCTTAGCGGAATAAACTAAATCATCGTTGAAAAGGAAGCAACAACTAGGGGTGGGCATTGGTATAAACCACATCGCACCGCATGTCAATTGGACCGCACCGCATGTTCGACCGCAATATAATCGATGCGGTCAAACCAAATCGCATTGATTAGCGGTTTGGTGCGGTTTAGACCGCACCGCATGTTTGACCGCAATTCATTATGGATTATAACACTTTCGAAACCAAATTCCTTTTCAGTATTGACGTTCTACTCCTGTTGCGTTCTAAAGAAAGAGAGGATGGATGCAATTGGTGTTCTAATAAGAGGAAGAAGAATAAGATCAGCGAAGAGGAAAAAAACTTAAGTAATTAATTAAGAGCAAGAAATAAAGAAAGAGAGCATTAACATACAAAAATCCAGAGAGAAAATGATACATGATAATTAGGCTCTGTTTTCTGGGTTCCAAATAACAGAGGCTGTAATCTGTCTATGGTTTCTCGAAAATCACAGTTCCGTTGATACTCCATTACCCCTTGCCGGCGATCCATTATATCGGCAGAGTTTGCTTTTTAATTTTAATTCAACTCTCTAGCCCAATTTGAATAAGATATAAATTTGCATCCCGACGAATGGGTGAACTTCATAATTGAAGACAACCACTTGTTAAACGGTCTGTCCACTCTGACGATTCCCAAACACAACACTATGAAATTAGGTAGTTGAATTCATTTGCGGTTTGCGGTTTCAAACCGCAACCGCGTGGTTTTGGATTAACCCAGTCGCAAACCGCGAGCCGATAAAAATTCAGACCGCACATTAGACCGCATGCCTTACGATGCGGTGTGGCTCGACCACAAAAGCGGTTTGGTGCGGATTGGAGCGGTTTGACCGCAACAATGCCCACCCCTAGCAACAACGACAATAAGTTTCATCACACAGAGGCTTTTGCGATGAATGGTGTACGACCGTCGATACACCTTTTAGTTTTCGGTACTATGTGGATGGAGGAGCGGTGGCTAGAGGGTCCCCACGCAGTGGGTGGGTTGGTGCCTTGGTGGTACAAGATGGGGTGGGGAATGTGGTCTTTGTGAAAGGCTTTTAGTATGGAGGATTGCAGGATCCTTGGCTGGTAGAATTGGTGGCATTCCGGGATACGATACAATTGTCGTCGGGATAAACAATCGGATGGCCTATTCGGTGGCTAGGAAAATCCTTTCTTTGTTTCCTACTAGTGTTGATTATTTTGATTTTAGAAAGTAGTTGTTGTTTGAGTTGTAAACTTGTAATCGTTGTGCTGTAGAACATTGGTAATTTTTTTTAAAAAAAGACTACATAGTAACCTGCTGGTGCAAAAGACAACTGAAATGAACCATTTAATCGTAAATCACCATCAATACATAAAATCTCTGTTTGTGTATGTCCGTAGTATTACATCTATAATATAAGAAACTAGTAATCAGCCCGCGCTCCGCGGCGGGATAAGTTTGACCTATGAAGTTTTGTGGATTATGGAACATCACCCTGAGCATCATTGTTGCTTAATAATCTCTGTCAATGCAAGAAAATATAAGGCAGTGCATAATAACCTTGTCAAGTCCAAAAGCTGTCGCAAACCACACAATCAAATTTGAACATTGTTTTCACTGTATCAAAGCGAGAGAATAGAAACCTAGTTTAGGATAATGGAAGCGGATAGGATGCATCTGAAAGTCTTTTCGTCATTGATATCGATGATCACTTGTCCATTCTTGAGGTATGCCAAAGTGTGGCAGCTCTTATGTGAGGTACGGCTGATGTAGTTCTGCTCTTCAAATCTGATGAACCGATGTACAACTCGCCTACAAACATTCTGTTACAGTTTTTGATCAACAATGCCTTTGCCGATTCCGAATCGAGTTTGTTGTATTTGCTGGGGGGCATGCCGATTATTGAAAGAGTTGCTTCATGGTCAAGTATGACGTCGATATCATCAGATCCTTGTTCACATTTGACTTCCAATTGATAATGCAAGCTAGTTATGTATGAAGGGAAAAATTGTGTTAGCTTATTTGCAAATAGATCAAGAAACATTGGATGCAATGTTGTCTATGAAACTGAAAACTTACGCTGGCCATTCCTCAATTGTTCAACAAATGCTTTTTCGAAACTTCAACTATGATATGTGGAACTTGGCACGGTAGAGTACCTAATATGAATACCACATATTGATTAGATGTGTCTGAATGTAAATTGCAAGTGTAGAATGTAAGAGTTTGTGAAACGCTCTGTCTCTAACAAACCTTATGGTTACTCTGATCAGATGCAAGCATTGCTTTTATGTCTGCAAGTGCTTTTATGTACTGAACAATTGCCATAGCGCCACTGTTCGGGGCAGAGATATGTGAGGTTGATGATTCATATAATTCACAAATTAACATATTATTCTATTGAATGTACCTCACATCCTGTACGACCATATGAAATTCTCGGAGAGTACCACGAACTGTTGTGGGAACACTGACACGCCTGATGCATACAGTGATGTCTGTGTTCGACAAAGAATTTTGGCGTTTTTAAGTTTAGGCTTGTTTTAGTATGATGAACAAAGATAGTCAAATGTACCTGTATGATAGTCAATGGTTCTTGTCTGAAGTGGTACTATCGAAAAAGCCATCCCAATGTCCCAACCGACGGGCATGCGTGGGTCATCTGGTCCTCTTCAATCTTTGATATGTTTTGTTGGGGAGTTATGTGGATCCTTAACTCGCCTGCAACAATTCTTGGATTCTCTCTTGCTGGTACAGCCACCACCGAATCGAACCGATAAAAGTTCCCGACTTTTATCTTCCGAGAAATCTCGGTGATGTCTTTTTCATCGACCATTGACTCGATCAATCGTGCCTATAAGAGAAACGTTTAGCGATTTCAAACCGTACACCGCGCTGGTTTTAAATTAATTATGAAAAGATTGTTCAATCTTGTAACTGAATTGTAAACAAACCTTCTTGTCTATCCAAATCATATGCATGCTGACGTCTTTTAACTTTGGTGCCTCTCGGTATTCAAGCCACTCTATCACAGGCCGAGCAATAACTATGCGGTTGTTTATGCCCAAACGCACCCCTCGAAATGGCATGCAAGTATTGATCGGATCTATCAGATAATAAAGGGAAAGGAAATGGATATTTTACCTTTCTTGCAGAGGATTCGAGATTCTTGGGAGGCTTTATTAACAAAAATGGAAGGTTCTGACCTTTGTCATCGATGGGACCATGTGACTGCTCTCTGTTGACTGGTGGTTTTTGGGTAAACTCTCCATATTGGGTGGGGCTTCTGTGCAGACAATTAAAGTTTCGATCAGAAGTAGTTTTTCAGGTGTAAAAAACGTGAAGAAGAGGAGGACGTGGACTTACCTTTGTCCTAAAGCTTGTCTGGTAGTTTCTGTGATGAGTCTCTCGCCGTGGGGAAAGATTGACGTAGATGTGGACGGCGGATGTAGTTGTTGTGGGAAGATAGGGTTTTATAGGGGAATGTCCATTTTGGACGGGCCTACAATGTGTTTTTATTTGGGTTAATACCTTAGTTTGGCCCGAACTATACACATACTTTCTACTTTGGCCCGAATTATTGAATATTGCTACTATGGCCTGAACTATATAGCAAACTTCCTCATTTGGCCTGGAGGCGGGTTTGACCGTCAAAACAGACGGTCAACCAAGTTGACCGTTAGTCAATATACACATCAGCTGCCACGTAGACATTAAAAATTATTTTTTTTTACAAAAAGTAAAAAATAAATTAATAACTCTAAAAAAAAAGGAACAGAAAAAAAAAGAAAAAAAAGGAACGAAAAATAAAAGAAAAAAAAAAATCACAGCCCCCATTTATACCCTCCTCTCTCTCCCCCTCTCTCCTCCTTCAAGGACATCCAAAACCTCATCTCAGAGCCCGACCATGGCGGCGAATTCGGCATCGGCTCCTCCGATCCTCCTCCCATTTCCTCTCCCCGAACGCCTTCAATCTTCCACCGCGTCCGGATCTCCACCTCCGTCCTCCGGTACCTCCGCAAATCCCTCCCTCCCGCCCTCCCGCAGCCGCCTCAGCTGAAGGAGGCGCAGCCGGACTGCATCGTCCTCTACTTCACCAGCCTCCGCGTCGTGCGACGGACGTTCGAGGACTGCTACGTCGTCAGATCGATCCTCCACGGGTTCCGAGTCTCGATCGACGAGCGAGATTTGTCGATGGACGGGAAATACCTAGGCGAGGTCCATGAGATCCTCGGAACCTCCGGTAAGGTAGCGCTGCCCGTGGTTCTTATCGGCGGGAGATGCATCGTCGGGCTCGACGAGATCAGGGAGCTCCACGAGAGCGGGGAATTGAAGCAGATCATTGCGGGGCTGTTTCCGCCGACCGCCGTGGCGGCGTCGAACGAGTGCGATCTGTGCGGAGGGCTGAGATTCGTCCTGTGCGAGGAGTGCAGCGGCAGCCACAAGATCTACTCG